AAATTTGATTAGGTTAATAGTTTTTCCTTGGAGGGGTTTGGGGTTAGGAATATAAATGGAGAAATATAAAAATAGTTCCAATCAAATCTTCGCTCCCAGAAAACCTCGCTCTTACCTCGTTGATTGACGAGTTCGAACACATAATTCGATTCCTCTCGTAAGCAATGATAAACATCTCGAAGAACGTGGGACACCACCACTCTTTCGAAGACCAGCGCCCGCCCATCCAAGCAACAACAGCGACCCACCGCCACCACTCACTCGAAGACAGAATTCGACTCCTTTCGTATGCAATGGAGGTTTTGTTGCTTCGTTCTTGCAAGTGAGAGAGAGAGAGAGAGGGGGGGAGGGAGGGAGGGATGTGAGAGTAAGGTTGTCTTTTTTTGTAATTTGACCGCGTTTCGCATGTTTTCAGCCCATTTCGTGTTTTTGCCTAGAAACGGTGAAAACGACCTTTTTGCTGTTTTCAGTTTTTTGTGTAAATTTTTTGGTGTTTTCGAAAACGCGTTTTCGAAAATAGGAAAGAGAACTTGTTTTCGCTGTTTTGAAAAATCGAAAATAGAAAACGGCTTGAAAACGGTAAAGAGAACATGGCATAAAGCTTTGAGTATGTGAAGAATAAAAAATTTCTTAAAGTTTTGGATGAATTATTAGAATGGTTTTTTCTCATTTATGTTATGTTTTAGGGATGATTAGTATCATGTACATATAGTTGTCAATCATCTCTACACGAACCGGTTCCATCTCATCATGAAAAGCTACATTGGTTCACCAAAAGGACCACCAGAAAATTCAAAAATAAAAACCCAACAAACGGCTATTTTTATAATCCATGCGGTCGCATGGCTATAACGTTGGCCACCACATTTGGCCCTGGAAGGTCACATGCGATGCAGGCCTCAAAGGCTTATGTGACCGCATAAGCCATAAATATAGCCACGGCGGACCCAGGGGGTCTTGGGGGGGCAACTTTTGAGAACTTTTTTTTAAAAGTCACGTTTGGTATCAATTGAAATCTAAATTTTAATTTAAATCAAAGTTAACAATTAATTTTAATAACATATTTCATGGAATTCATAACTGTTTAACTCTTATCAAAATTTATTAAAAATTTGATTTTAATCTCCACCAACCACGGGCAAAATTACAATAAATTTGAATTTCGATAACATGCTAATTTTAAAAATTTTCCGACGAAATCGTACACTAATCGAATCTACAAATTGCTTATATTATCTCAAAACTTATT